GTATCTGGCGCTCACTGTGGGGGGTTCAGACTCCGGAGGGGCTCCTACAGCCCAAGCGCAATATCAATATCACACCCGCTGCGGCGTGCAGCCCGATCCATGCATAGTCATGAATGCAATCATACTTACCATTTTTAGTTTCAATTATCTGAATTATAATTAGGTGTTTAAAACCTTAGAATTTATTAGCCATTTTGATACAATATTCAATTCAGGACTAATATCATGAAACATGCTATAGGTTATGGGAACAATGATAACAATCCCTACGGGATTCAAATAGTCGGCATACAGCCCCAATTATGTCCATAACCATCCAAGTAGGAGGTTTACCGGCTAATTTCTAGCCCATGATATAGTACAACATCGCTCGGTCGGACTAGGCCACAGTCCTCGATCACAATCGACCCCGCACTCGCTGTAGAGTACGTGTCTCGCCTCAATATAGCGTCACAGTGTGATATACCGGAGTTTCAAACCCTCAGGTCATCATCTACATCTATTACTCACCTCAAACCGGCCACGGGATTAGTCCGCTATGCCTTTTCCTCTTGAATTAACCTCTTCGCGCGTCGAATCTGCTGAAAACCATAAGGAATACATTATAATGTGCTAATGGGACGTAACCCAATCGAAAGAATTCGAAAAAATACTCAAAAACACGAAATTGGCAAAACCCGAGCCCCGGGCCCACGTCCCGAAAAATTCTGAAATTCACATTTCCGGAATCCTCGTCTCACACGAGTCCGTACATACCAAGAACTCCCAATTCGGACCACAAATGGCCCCTCAAATCCTAAATTTAAAGTTTTTGCTCCAAGCCCTAATTTCCTAGAATTTTACTATGTTTTCATGAATTCCATGGATAATATTTCGATAAAAACATGTATTTAACTCATAAAACTTACCTCCAATCAATTCTTAGTCGAAACCTTCTTACTTCCCGTCCAAATGCCCCAAGATGCTTAAAATGGAGGAAGAAATGAGTTGGGTCGCTGGGGAAATGTCCTTAAAACATTCTGTCCAGGCCTGACTTTCCTTCATCGCGTTCGC